CTGTGTGACCTTGTAGGCAGGCCTTCCGCCACATCCTTGCCTATCTCTCCTTCAAGATCCAGGGCCTACAGACTTATTGTGGAGGGGCACCTGGGGAATCGAGGTAGGGAGAGAGGGGGGTTACCTGCAGCGCTGAACTGGGACTCGCTTCCAACCCTCCTTGTCTTCTTGGTTCCCTCCCTCTGTCTGACAGTGACAGCACAGGGGCTTCATCACCCTCCGGGGGGCATCCCCCCGGCACCCTTCTCACACCAGGGAGTTACTCCCCCAGTCAATCTCCTGGTCACACGCCCTGATGCTCCTTAGTCTTTCTACCTCCTCCTTGAGCTCAGCCACCATGGTGAGCGGACCTTCCACCTGAGAACAGGTCTCCCTGCTGCTCTGCTCCCCTGGCAGTGGCAGGCTCAGGCAGTCCCTGCAGCCAGAGACCTGAGCAGCCACGTCTCTGGGCAGGCCCTCTGTCTGGGTCACCACAGCCTTTTTGGAGAGAGCTCTCTGCCTAGTGGACACCATGGTAGCTGGATGATCTCACAGACTGCCGAAAAGTTGGTGCTGAGCCCTGCACCCTGCCGCACCAGCGGCACACCAGTGCGCACCACGCCACTGCCAGCCCACTCTGCTCACAGTGTGCACCTGCAGCCATTGCCCTCATCACTGGGCAGAGGGCGGGGGTGCAGCTGCTGTTGCCCTGGTAGCATCTGCTCCCTGTCAGCCTCTCCCTGAGAGCCGGTGGGTACAGCCTGGTCACACTGCTGTCCCAGGCCTCCCCTGGTGAAGCAAGGGCCTGAGGTACCCCTGTGGCGCAATGTTGGGCACTTTGGCTGCAGTGACTCCAAGGCAGCTGGCGTCGACTACTCAAATAATGTATGGCAGTTATTAATGTATGCCCTGTAATGGACAAAAGGTTACCATAGGTCAGTCTGGAATCTTCCTTTAGTTGTTTTCCTCCTTCCTGTTTTCTAGCTTTCATCTCTTCTCTCTCGTACTTCTGCTTGCTAAAGGCTACCAGTTTCCCTGTATTCTCCAAGGTTTCCTTGTTTTCTTCAGCTTAAGACTACAACGAGATTCAAATTAAATTAAAAAAAAAAAAAAAAGTAGGAAATCAAAAGCAGTCCAAACAAAATAGAGATCTGAAATCTTCAGCCCTGAATTGGGTGAACTTGACAAGGTTTTGGTAGTGGAGGAGGCTATAAGGGAAGCTTCTGTGACGAAACCAGGAGCTGGCACCATGTCATCTGGTTCTAGCTGAGCTAGAAAGGGGCCTGCTACTGGCCAAAGATCAGCAAATAAATGCTGGTTGCACCTCAGTGAAAGCATAGTTAATAAAGGGAAAAATGCTGCAGAGCAGCAGCTGGGAGAGAAGAGTGAGAAAATTCAGGAGAAACAACTCTGGAGACCCCCAAGGTCAGTGAGGAAGGAGAGGGAGGAGGTGCCTGGAGAAGATGCTTATGGTTCGAAGTTCCCCTGCGGCCTGTGGAGAGGCCCCTGGTGGAGCAGGCTGTCCCCCTGTAGCCCATGGGTCCCACATGGAGCAGATCTCCATGCTGCAGCCCATGGAGGAGCCCCCGGTGGAGCAGGTGGATGTGGCCTGGAGGAGGCTGCAGCCCATGGAGAGCCCCCGAAGGAGCAGGCCCCGGGCCGGAGCTGCAGCCCGTGGAGAAGAGCCCACACAGGAGCAGAATCACACAGAATCACAGAACCATCATGATCTAGGTCGGAAGAGACCTCCAAAATCACCTAGTCCAACCTCTGACCTAACACTAACCAGTCCTCCACTAAACCATATAACTAAGCTCAACATCTAAACATCTTTTAAAGACCTCCAGGGATGGTGACTCCACCACTTCCCTGGACAGACCATTCCAATGCCTCACAACCCTCTCAGTTAAGAAGTTCTTCCTAATATCCAACCTAAACCACCCCTGGCGCAACTTTAGCCCATTCCCCCTCATCCTGTCACCAGGCACGTGGAAGAATAAACCAACCCCCACCTCGCTACAGCCTCCTTCAAGGTATCTGTAAAGAGCAATAAGGTCGCCCCTGAGCCTCCTTTTCTCCGGGCTGAGCAATTCCAGCTCCCTCAGCCGCTCCTCGTAGGACTTGTTCTCCAGGCCCCTCACCAGCTTCGTCGCCCTTCTCTGGACTCGCTCGAGCACCTCGATGTCCTTCTTGTAGCGAGGGGCCCAAAACTGAACACAGTACTCAAGGTGCGGCCTCACCAGAGCCGAGTACAGGGGGACAATCACTTCCCTAGCCCTGCTGCCCACACTGTTTCTTATACAAGCCAGGATGCTGTTGGCCTTCTTGACCACCTGAGCACACTGCTGGCTCATATTCAGCTGACTATCAACCAATACTCCCAGGTCCTTCTCTGCCAGGCAGCTTTCCAACCACTCATTTCCCATCCTGTAGCGCTGCTTGGGGTTGTTGTGCCCCAGGTGCAGGACCCGGCACTTGCAGGAGGCTTGGGGAGAGCTGCCACCCATGGGGGACCCATGCTGGAGCAGTTTGCTCCTGGGGGATAGACCCTGTGGTATGGAGGCATATTGGAGCAGTTATTGAAGAGCTGCTGCCTGTGGGAAGCCCACACAGGATCAGTTTGAGATAGATGGCCTCCAGTGGGATCCCACATTGGAGCAGAAGAGAGTGACCATGAAGGAGCAGTGGATACAAAGTATCGGGGACTGACCGCAGCCCCCCTTCCCCATTTCCCTGCACCACTCGGGCGGGTCCCCTGGCGCAACTTTAGCCCATTCCCCCTCATCCTGTCACCAGGCACGTGGAAGAATAAACCAACCCCCACCTCGCTACAGCCTCCTTCAAGGTATCTGTAAAGAGCAATAAGGTCGCCCCTGAGCCTCCTTTTCTCCGGGCTGAGCAATTCCAGCTCCCTCAGCCGCTCCTCGTAGGACTTGTTCTCCAGGCCCCTCACCAGCTTCGTCGCCCTTCTCTGGACTCGCTCGAGCACCTCGATGTCCTTCTTGTAGCGAGGGGCCCAAAACTGAACACAGTACTCAAGGTGCGGCCTCACCAGAGCCGAGTACAGGGGACAATCACTTCCCTAGCCCTGCTGGCCACACTGTTTCTTATACAAGCCAGGATGCTGTTGACCTTCTTGGCCACCTGAGCACACTGCTGGCTCATATTCAGCTGACTATCAACCAATACTCCCAGGTCCTTCTCTGCCAGGCAGCTTTCCAACCACTCATTTCCCATCCTGTAGCGCTGCTTGGGGTTGTTGTGCCCCAGGTGCAGGACCCGGCACTTGCAGGAGGCTTGGGGAGAGCTGCCACCCATGGGGGACCCATGCTGGAGCAGTTTGCTCCTGGGGGATAGACCCTGTGGTATGGAGGCATATTGTAGCAGTTATTGAAGAGCTGCTGCCTGTGGGATGGATGATGAGAGTTGTTTTTTTTTGTTTGCTTTTAGTTTCTCACTGTTGTTGGTAGGCAATACATTAATCTCCCTTTTGCTGAGTGTGTTTTGCCCATGACAGTAATTAGTGAGTTATCTCACTGTTCTTGTCTTGATTCATGAGCTTTTTCCTTCCATGTCTTTCCAAGGTGGAGTGAGAGCAGCTGAGTGGGCACATAGAAGCCAGACAAACTTAACCTACTACAAGCTGTCATTCAGATGGCTCTGTTGTGCCCACCTCCCAGCAGTCCAACAACAAATATCTGAAAACACAGTTCTTTAAAATTCACAAACCGTTCTGTGAGAAAGAAGAAGCCATCATCAATTAATATCCCTCATGTATAAGTACATCAGCTGGGATGCTGTTGGTCTTGTACTGTAATACTATAAGCGAGAAATAACCCTGACCACAAATTTTAGCAAATGCTGCTTTGAAATATAATCTAATTGACCAGGTGATGTAAAGTTCATCTTCCTGGTTCGTCACTCGAGATTAGTATACTGGTACAATTGCTTTATAACTGATTAACACTTCAGGGCAAGAAGCTGTCTAATATGCAAAAATAAAGAACACAGTGATGACTGTGAAAGACTTTAATGTGTTGCATGTAAATTGAGAAACTATCACATCTTTTTCAAGACTGCAAGAAAGAAAAATTTAAACATCCAGGGAAATCCAGATAAATATTTTCTATGTTACCTATTTTTCTGTCCTTCAGAAAATCTAGCTACCTAACTCTAACAAAGTTAAGCAGCATAGCATTTTACTTACATAGGTTATAAATGTTCCAGTCCAAACGATCTAGTCTCTCAAGGATGAGATTTCCATTTAGAGATCGAGGATTAACTTCCAAAGAATCATGTCTTCCCTGTCTTTGATCTTGCAGTAAGTGCACAAGATAACACACAAAACCTGCATTCATGATTAACAGTGCAACTTTATGCGGTCTTCTCCATGGTGCCATTGTAAGTGTAGAGAAACTCTGAGTTCTGCTGGTGGAAGTTTGTACCTGGTTCTGGGTCTGCAGAGAGTCTTCCTCTTAAATTTCCTGTTTCAAATGCCTCTGAGTCAAATAAAAACAAGGACTGCTGAGAAGTAATTAACCAAGTCTAATGAGTCACAGAACTAATAACAATAAAGTATAGCTTAAGGGCGTTCTCTTGTTCATGCTGTTAGGCAACTGTACACATAATCACTGTCAGAGAGAGAATGCAGTTCACTGAGTGCTTACCAGAAAGGATGCTGTCCGAACAGGGCTGTTGCATATATGTCAAAGTCTATCGTGCAACAAAGCACATGATCACACAAGGAAGTCTGGAAAAAAATATGAGCCACTTCAATATTTCCTCGTCGTTATCAGCTAGAAATGTTGTATATTATGTGTAATTATAGAACGCTATGAGATTAGCATGTGTACACCTGGATGGCATACAACTTCTCCAGTTGAATTTTTTCATAGGTAGCCAATTCACCAAAAAATAGATGATTTTCAGCAGAGGAATCAGTTCAGGACATTAGCTCTAGCTTGCTCTCTTCTCTACAGAAAAAAAAAAAAGAAAAAAAAGAAAAAAAAAAAAGCAATAATCCTCTGAGATCCATCAGAAATGCAAGCAGCTGCTTTTGTGACTGTCTTCCAAGCAAGGAGAGGTGACCGACTCCATGTGAACAGAACAGGCAAACAGGGTGTGGCATGGCAGTTGGCACAGCAGCTGGCACAGGCAGGATGGGCAGGGAAGGTGCTGAACCTAGGCCAGCCCAACCAGGGAGAGATGGTATCCACCCAGCAGAAGGCAATGGCCTCTTGGATTTTGGCACCCACCACATCCAATGCAGCATCCTAGACAGAGCTGGGGGGGGAAACACACTGCCACCAAGGTGTCAGGCTGCCAAGTGTGCCCTTATGGTCAGTACAGGATGGCAGCAGTGAGCACATCTGTGGGAGGTGTGGCCAGGTTGAAGAACTGCTTTGCCAGGTGGCAGAGCTTTGTGAGGAGGTGGGCAGACTGAGGAGCATCAGGAAGTCAGAGAAGGAGATTGACTGGTAGGGTAGAGCTCTGCTTTCCTTGAGACAGGCTCCTCAGCCAGCCACTACACAAGAAATTAAGTTTCCCATATCACCTCACCACCAGGCAGAGGAAGGGGATCTAAGAGACAGGGGGAAGTCAAATGCAGGTTCCTGTTCGGCACAGCAGGCAAACCCCCCTGCTGCATATGTCACCTTCCCAGGTGCCCCTACACAACAGTTATGAGGCTCTGGAACTGGATGGGCAGGCAAGTGATGTGGACAAAGGTCCATTCACGTTAGGGAAGTTGCCCAGGGAAAGTCAACATATGCCCTACACCACAACAACTCCCATGAAGAAATAGTTATAGGGGATTCCCTTCTGAAGGTAACAGAGGGCCCAATTTGTTGTCCAGACCCTACCCATAGGGATAGGGAACTCTGCTGACTCCCTGGGGCTCAGGTAAGAGACATCACTGGGAAAGTCACTCGCTTGGTACGGCCCTCTGATTATTACCCCTTATTGTTTATTTCATGTTGGCAGTGATGAGATAGCAAAGAAAAGTCTAGCAGTGATCAAAAGGGACTTCTGGGCTTTGGGTCTTTTGGTTGAAATATCAGATGCACAGGTAATATTTTCCTCTATCCTTCCAGTAGTCGGGATCAATACTGAAAGGAAATGGCAGACCCAGAAGATGTGTTTCTGAGGCTGGTGCCACCGATGCAGTTTTGGGTTTCTTGAGCATGGGAGGATCTACATGACACCGAGCATACTGGCTCCTGATAGGGAGCACCTTTCTCAGAGGGGAAAAAAGGATTTTTGCCCAGGAGTTAGCAGGGCTGATTGATAGGGCTTTAAACTAGATTTGAAGGGGGAAAGGGACAAAAACAGGCCCCTCCAGTGATAAACTGTGGGACTGCATGCCAAAAATTGAGGGACCGTGTGCTAGTAAGACCCTTCAGTCTGCCCCATGAGGAGCTGGGTCCAGGGAAGCAGATCTTAAACGTTTCTATATAAATGCACAAAGCATGAGAAAAAAATGCAAGAGGAGCTAGAAGCCTTGGCCCAGTCCCAGAGCTACAACATCATTGGCATAAGCAAGACACAGTGGGAAGAAGCCTGTGGCTGGTGTGTTTTGATGGATGGTTACAGGCTCTTCAGAAGGGAAAGGCAGGGCAGGTGAGGCAGGGGGATGGCACTCAATATAAGGTAGGCACTGGACCGTACAGAGCTTACAGTCTGTGACAGTGGGGTTGAGAGACTCTGGATAAGGAACAAGGGACATGAAAATAAAGGGGTCCATCAGTGCTGGTTGGCTTTTAAGCACCACCTCCTAAGAGCATAGGAACAGGCAATTCCAAAATGTCGGAAGTCAACCTGGAGATACAGAAGGCTGGCTTGGCTGAGCAGGGGTCTTCTTCATGAGCTTATAAAAAAGAAAGTGGATGGCCACTGGAAATGAGGTTGGGCGACATGGTGTACTGGGTCTGGCTGGGATGTTAACTTTCCCTGCAGCAGCCCGTACAGTGCTGTGCTCTGCACTTGTAGCTGGAACAGCAGTGGTATCACACCAGTGTTGTGTCTGCTGCTGAGCAGTGCTGGCACAGCATCACAACTGTCTCTAACCCTGCTAGGGGGTGGGCAAAAAGTGAGAAGAGAAACATCACCAGGATAGCTGACCTAAACCAACCAAAGGGATATTCCATACCATCTGATGTCACACTCAGCAATAAAAGGTGGAAAAAGGAAGAAGAGGAGAGAGGTGGGCTCTTGTTGCGAAAACATCTGTCCTCCTGAACAATGGCTACGTGCGTTGAGGCCCTCCTTCAAGGACATGGTCAAGCATCGCCCAATTACAGCTAAAGCTGGCCAGCAGTGTGGGGGGACAATAAAAATAAAAATAAAAATAAAAATAAAAATAAAAATAAAAATAAAAATAAAAATAAAAATAAAAATAAAAATAAAAAGCTTTTTAAAGTATGGTAGTGGGAAAAGGAGGACCAGAGCAAACATTGGTCCAATATTTGATGAGGATGGTCACCTAAACAGGGCCATATACAAAGCAGAGACATTTAATGCATTTTTCACCTCTGTCTTCAACAGGAGCGATGGGCCCTGGGACCCCACCTGCCCTGAGTTGGAGGAGCATGACTGTGAAAATGATAAACTCCCAGTTAACCCCAGACTTGTGCGGGATTTTCTGCTCCTTCTGGATGCATATAAGTCCATGGCGCCTGATCGAATTCATCTCAGAGTACTCAGAGAGCTGTCTGATGTCATCACAGGACTCCTCTCAACTATTTTTCAATGGTCTTGGGAATCCAGAGAGGTCCCAGTTGACTGGAAGCCGGCAAATGTGGTCCCAGTTTTCAAGAAGGGCAAGAAAGAAGATCCTGGCAATTATAGGCCTGTCCATCTCACTTTGGTGCCTAGTAAAATTATGGAGGAGATTATTCTGGGAGTTACTGAAAAACACCTGAAGGACAACACAGTCATTGGTCAGAGCCAACATGGGTTCACTAGGGGAAGGTTATGTCTAACAAACTTAATTTCCTTTTACAAGATTACCCAACTAGTTGACCAAAGGAAGCCAATCAGCCTAATCTTTCTGGTTTTCAGCAAAGCTTTCAATACTGTCTCTCACAGTGTCCTTCAAGAAAAAATGACAAGAATGCAGTTACATAAACGCATAATAAGATGGGTGAACAATTGGCTGGCAGGTCAGGCCCAGAGGGTTCTTGTAAACGGGGTTACATCAGGCTGGCGGTCAGTCACTAATGGGGTTCCCACTTCAATACTCTTCAGTGTTTTCATAAACAATTTGGATGAAGAAGTTTGCTTGAGCAAGTTCATGGATGATACCAAATTGGGTGGAGCTGTTGACTCCATCAAGGATGATGAGGCCTTGCAGAGAGATCTGTACAAATTAGAGAGCTTGGCAATCAGCAACAATACGGAGTTTAACAAGAGCAAGTGCTGGATTCTACACCTGGTAAGTGGCAACCCTGGATATATGGACAGACTTTAGAAACCCAGGACTTGGACTCAATGATCCTTGTAGGTCTCTTCCAACTCAGATATATAATTCTATGAGCTACTTTGAGTCCATCCATTGGCTGAAAACAGCTTGTTTCAGGCCTAGAAAACTTCCCAGAAGTCTCTCAATGTCCTGGAGCAGTGAGCTGTCATAGTTTCTAAGATCCGATGTAACAGTGTGGGACAGGAAAGATTTTTCCATATGTCTTTGGAAAGCCATCAATAACTACTGCTTTTCTACAAGAACTTTGCTACCACTAGACAGCCTCTGCAGCCTCAGAGAGCACCATTTTGCATGTTGCATTTGAATTACGTGGCTGAATTAGCTGGAGAACGCCTAACTAGTAAGCTCACCTTCATATTCAGACTGCATAATGATAACATTCATAACAGCAAATTATATCTTTCCATATAAATGTTAAAGTGTGTGCTAATATATTTCTATCGGTTGGTTTATTTGATTTTCCTTATTTAATTTTAAACAGTGTAATGACACTTTACAAACCTACTTCCTTTAAATTAGGCACTGAAATTGTTTTCAATTGGATTAGAGGTTGATATCACATCATTTACCTAGTTGCACTGCATACATTGCATTATTTCATCTTTTATATCATTCTACACACTCTCTACGTATATATGTGCTATACCGCACTCTTATCTAAACAAACTGCACATTCCATTCCCCAGACTACTTACCAGTGAGTTTTTCTTCAGCAAAACCACCAGAATTTCTCTCCGGTACAACAGAGTAGAAATCCCACCATAATCTTTTACAGATCCCATACCAATATGGTGTTAAAAAAATCCTTATTTACCAGTACTTGCATCAACCACTTCCTAGTTTATCACAAAATGTAAGAACTGAGTCATACATCCTTCTGTGTACTTCAAACATAAGAAGGTAATTCTGTATCATGGAGCGTAAGTCTCCTTTCATTCAATAAATATGATTTAAATACTATGTAGAAAAACACTTTGTACCTTTTCTGTATTTTTCAGCTCTTCAAAGACAGTATCTTTGCACTACTTCAAGAACACCTACAACATAAGTGAAGTTCCTATTGGAATTGGGTTCTCACACCACTTGGACACTTCTGGAAATATTAAAATTCTGTTAAAAGGAAGAGGTTATAAGCGTCTGACTTACATAAGGCTTTAGGATACATACAACAGCACAGTAATGCAGGAATGTGAAACTGGGGAAGAAAAAGCAGGGCTATTTCGAAAGTCCTGAACAAGTTGAGTCACACTTTGCCAAAGGAGCTCTATTTTGATTCTTCTGTTGCCTCTGAAATATCAGTGGGGTATTGCTGTTAAAAATGCAACTGCTCACATGTAGAATGTAATTACTTTCAAACTCACAAAACTATGGGGAAGAAAACGGTGAGGGATAAAGGACAAACAGTTCCAAGAAGCTACGGAGTTTGTTTCCTGGTTGAGGTTTTTAACTCTTTACAGTTCTGTCACAAAGGACACAACTCAGCACTAATTACCGTTGTCCATCAAATGGTATTCCATGTTGTATTTGTGAGAAATAGGCACGATTTCAAGTTCTCTGACACCACAGTCCTCCAATAGCCAGGAAAAAACTGCATTAAGCCAAAAATCAGCGAGGCGTTACTTCTCTAAGCCCCCACACTATCAATGGACACACTTATCATCACAGTATTTGGTTTACAAGCCTTAAGGTTCTCCAGCATTTAAATATGCATTTAAATCCATATTAGCACTGAAACTTCCATCAGTATGAATCACATTTTCCTCTCAGAAGGAAGACATGTAGAAGTTCTGCTGACAAGGTGATTGAACACTGCCAGGATTCACTCATTTTGTAATTAAAATAGAGGATATTATCGTGTGTGTTCTCCATATGTTCTGTACTCAATGAGGTTCTTTTATCTGGTGGCTTCTCCGCCCCACCCCTAATTATCTGTATTTGTCCACCCAGGTTTTAAAGCAGCACTCAAAATCTGATAGTTGCTCAAAATTGATGTGGTTAGTCTCAGTAAGTAAAAATTGAGCAATATTGTTTCCTGCACACTCCCAACTCCCAGTTCATCAGAGCTGATCCAAAACTTTTAGCTACTTTTATGAAGGAACCTTTCAACTGAAATAGAAATGTTTGGGTGCCCAAGATTTCCTTAACCTCCCCATATCTTGTGTATTTTTCTCCCTCCAGGCAGAGGAAGAAATAGTGGCATAGGAAGATGAACAACAGAACACAAATACAGCCATGATAAACCTTGTCCAAAAAAATTTATTTCCTATTTTTCTAACTGCTTTGCAGAAGACATTAATCTGTCTCCTCCCTTCCTCCTTGTAGGTCATACTGAAGTATATATTTAAAATAAATAAAAAGCAAACACGCCCTCTCTCATACACACACACAGAATCACAAATCAGAAAACTTTGAAGGAAATTATGTAAGGTCATTTCAATCAGTCTTATCAGCCCCCCAAAGATACCTACTGGCCAAGAAAGTTACAGCGAAGGTGGGAAACCTACAAAAGCATTTGCAAAGCAGTAGCACTGACTACTGGCTGACTAAATTCTAACCAAGGCACTTGCAACACAAGGGGTAAACCAACAATCATGTATTGCTATGTGTTCTCCTCAAATGGGCACTCATCTGAGCTCTATGCCCTGCTCCAACTCAGAATTCTAGCAACAAAATCCCTGGAATCTAAATGAGATTCCTTAGGGACAACGAGAAAGACTTAATTTCCAGAATTCTGCAGTCTTAGAAGATCAGCTGTGATTTATGGTTTTTGATTTATATAAAAGCCAAAATAGAAATGTGTGTCAAAACAGGCCTAAGAAAAAATAAATAAATAGAGACACACAGGAAGAGAGCACTACCTTCATTGAGAACTTTCTTCAAAAGGTCTCATTTCTTTATTATAAAAATTTCAATGTTACCAACGTTGTAAGCTCTTTCAGGAAAGAATGTTGTTTAGAGTGACTTTCATGCTATAACTAGCCATTAAAAGAAAGAAGGAAGCCACAGCAGGATGCTGTCCACTAAATTCTCAGTTCTCCCACCAGATTTCCTTTGTTTTTAGTGTCCTTCATCTTCTGCCTCCATACCTCAGAAAGGCTGCAATAACATTGCCACAGATTACTTGTATATACAGAACTTCCAATTATTTTAAATATAGCAGTTCTTTGATCTCCTATTTCCATATAGAACTAATCTCTTCTAGTACCTTTACTGGACTACACATCACTTACGGAGATGGAACGGAAGAGGTGAGAAAAAAGAAGCAGATGGGAACATTTAATTCTATACAAGTCACCTGTTCCAACGTGGAGCACTACACTGTAATTTAAGAGTTACCACATTTTCTGCATAAATACACGTGCAATTAGCAGCAAATCCAAACCAGAATCTTTATTGCTTAGGAGACATAGTCTCTGAAGAAATCTAAAGCCCAAATCTTCACAGGCTAGAAAAATGGGCCCAGGTGAACCTCATGAAATACAAGGACAAGTGCAAAGTCCTGCACCTGTGTTGGAGCAATCCCCAGTATCGGTACAGATGGGGCGCTAATTTGATTGGGAGTAGCCGTGCCAGGAACAGCAGGATACCAGCTGGTGGAAATTTGGACACAAGCCAACAGCGTGCACTTGCAGTTCAGAAGGCAAATCACACCTCGGGCTGCACAAACACAAGTGTTGCCAGCAGGTTGAAGGTCATGATTCTCCCTCTCTACCCTCATAAGACCCCCGTCTAGAACTACAGCATCCAGCCCTGTGGCCCCAGTGAAAAGATCTTCCGTCCAGAGCAGAGACCAGAAAAGGCCAGAGCAAGAGCCAGATGCAAATAGAGGCAAGCTGCACGCTTTTGAAGACCGTTGCCGCTTTCTGCTCTACCAGTGACCTCTTGTGGACACAGTGGAAAATAACACGTCCCTCTTCATACTGCTTCGAAAAGCTCCCCTTCACAACGGTGTTAAAAGTTGTGCCTCTAGATTCTAGGTAAGTAAAGAACCTCCAGTACCTGCAAATTGAAGATTAGCAGGAAAAAAACTATTGCAGAAGCAGAGACAGTAGAGATGGGATACGAAGGAAGACTCTCTCACTGATAAATGAGCAGGGATAAAAATCACAGATGAAATTGAATCATACCATGATGTCATCTAATATCATTATACAACAGACATCAAAACAAACAAAAAAAAAAATCAGACGTTTGGAATTATTAGGAAAAAAAAAAAAAAAGGAATACAAAACTAAACAGGCAAGCACCACTGAAGGACTCCGTAAAGCCACAATAAGCCTAACCCTTGATGGCTGTATATGCAGTTACTCTTATCCACCACCAAACAGACAAAGAATACAACGGGTCAAGAGATTGCAAAAGGCAAAAAGGTACACAGCAGCTGCTACAGACCAACAAAATAACAGAACTTCAAAAGCGGCAAAGACTACAAAAGTTCGTAAATTCTCAGCAGTTGAAGGGAAACTTAGTAGGGAGCCAGTATTTCCTTGAGTATGAGAATGTAAGAGAAAGGGATCACAAAATTTAATCAAATCAAATGAGACAATCAAAAACAAGGAAATGTTTCACCCTGCTGTATGCCCTTGAACTTGCAGAACCATAAGGTTTTATAGGTGACACAAGTTTTCCTAAGATTTAGAAAATAATTAGGCCAATTAATGGAGTGATCGTGCACTGAGATCTACCTCAGGAAAACTTCCAAATTATACATGTAGATTACTAGAAGATGGGAGAGTACCCAAGTATCACTCTCGTTTTTCTGTTTGAATATGTTGCTCTATGTATCTACTATTAACAGTGACTAAATATTGAGTTAGGCTCTATCTCACTGACTCACCCAACACAGAAATAGATCTGTTCATGTCATCAGCCTTTCTACCACAGGATATGCAGCTAAAACAGACAGGAAATTCAGAGTGCGATTAGTCCATTGCTCGCCTACATGAGATTTAGTAGCAAAAGAACTTAAGGTGTGCCCTCTCCATTTTTCACAGGAATCTTCTTAGTCAGCTTCCACTGAAATCAATGAAAGCTACTTACCACCTAAGTATTGTGTAGGATATGATTTATTCTGAGGAAGACTAGAAAAAAAACTTCAATACTTTCATGTTTATTCTGCAATCACCCCCTTCTCACATAGGTTCACTTCAGAGGGGAGGAAAAAAAAAAAATTCAAGAACTTTATCTAAGAAACACCATAAAAAGAGCTGAGATTTTCTAACCCATAGTGCTTGTATATCAAAGCAAGGGCATTTCTTAGAACAGATCCCTTGATGGGGATCTGAAACCGGGGAATTAGTCATATTCTAGCAAAAACATAAGAAGAAGCAAATGCTAATGATTCCCTGTCTTTAAAAGGTACTTAGTAGTTCTGCACTATAGTCCTTGGCAAGAAACATTACTCTAAATTCAAGTGACAGCCAAAAAGCCATACAGAGACTGGGAAAAAAATTGACCAGATTAAAAATTATTGAAGAAGTGGAAGTAGTGGAATAGAGATACACTGCATAATACAAAGCATGGAAGAGATTAATACTATTAAATTTACAGGTGTGGCTTGCTCACACAGCCTGAAACCATAGGTATGAGGCCACCTAGTGGCATTCATTCACAACAAAAGAGATACATAGCTAACTGAAGTCAACTGGGGAACTAATGGAAGCTCCTATCTAGTTTTTCCTTGTAAATGGAAGAAAATAATAGTGACTGAGGCTGCAATATCAGACTCTCAGAACTGAAAAGTGTCAGAATTAAGGCTTCATACACTATCTTAATTTGTTCCCCTTCCATGTTGTGTTCTGATCTGTATTAGTTCCCCCCCCCCCCCCCTCTTTTTGGTCAGTTTTTATTTGTTGTTGCTGTTTTTAATACATTCAGGAACTATGTGTCCTACAGAAACTTGCAGCAGCAATAGCTGAGCACTTCTATGATGCTCCTCTTCTCTGGTATTCTTACCTGATGTGGAATATGCTGCTTAAAGCAAACTTTTCATGGATCAGGTGCATGTTCTCTATTTAATGTGTATCCGAGTTAAGATCCTGTAGGAGTGGTCTTTGGTGCAACTGAAGCCACTGGAAAAGCTGTACTTAAAATGCTTACTGTAACGTTTATTTCCCCCCCCCCCCCCCATTCTCAGAACTGGCATCTATCATTACAGCAGTACCTTTGAGAACATTTTATGCCTGTTTGCCATCTGAAAATGGAAACTGCTAATTATCTGTGCAGGACTATCATGATAATTGCATATCTCTGTCTGTACTCTACATGGCTTCTGTGAAACAGCTCTGAAATACTAGTTTTCCCAGCAGGATGTGAATAACATGCATAAATAAAGCATAAGCCATACATATTAAATGAGCACAAACAAGGCTATTTATTTAAAGCTAGGGTGTTATGGAAAAAAAGATTTACTCAAGTAAATAAAAATAATATAAGGATCAAATTATTAACAACATGCACTTCCACTTTGTCTACCTTTTGAATGTTTTAATTGGCAGGTTTATTTTCAAGTGAATGAATTTACGTTATCAAAAGAAAAAGTAAACTACGCATGAGAGCCAAATCAAACATGTGGTAGGCAGAATCAGTAGATATTATTACAAGAATTTAACTCTTCCTAACAAAGTAAACATTAGCAGCAGTAGGTTGTCATGGAAGAGCAAAATGCAGCAGCTGTTGAAATTAAAGAAATGCTTTGTCCAGGAATTTGACAGTACTTTAGCAACAACACAAACACCAAGATTTTGATCTTTGGGTCCAGCAATCATGAGTTAATCAAGAGACTTTTTAAATGCTTTTCCTAACCTTGACCTTTTTGTTCTTTTCAATTTGTCCATTCTTTTTCTATTCTCCTTTTTTTTTTTTTAAACTATTCAGTCCCAATCTCCACCTCAAATTTCTCCTCCACCATTAGGTTTCTACCTTTGATGCCGTGATTATTTGTCCAACTTGTCCCAGTTCCTTCTCTCCTATTGCCACACCCAACAAAGGCAAATAGTAGGAAGCAAGCATTGAGGTGAAAATACAAGGTGCTGTCACTTGTTATATCCCTGTTCTCAATCCCACTCAGTTTCCCCACCAATTTCAACTTATCCCAGCTAAAATACTTCAGTGCTCACTATCTAAGAAATGATATGCAAATTTGCTACCATGACATTTTAAAGATAAGAATTGTGCTACAGTCTTCCATAATTAAAAAGAAAACACTGGCAAAATACAGCTTATGATTACCATATTTTACTTGGTATATACACAGGTCTCCAAACAAATTAGGTCACAGAAAGACAGTTTAGGTAGTGTTAAGTAACCACCTAAGCAACTGTTTACATGTTGTATGTCTTTGCTGGTTTTGCCTCCTCCAGCTCAGCATCCAACCAGCGGTATCTGCGGTGACGGCGCAGAACTTCAATTGCTTTTTGTTCTAGAGGTGTTGGTTGAATACCCAGGTCTTCCAAACCAGGAAGGTCAGGAAATGTCATGTCTGTTATGTGAAACTTTAAGAAATGAAAAGGGAAAAAAGAGTGGGAATTAACAGAATGAATAGCATTAACACCCAATGCAATTTTTAACATGCAGAAGAGAAGTATTGTGTATTCACACCTGAGGTTACCGTTTTTCTTTTCTAAACACATACTAGCATGAATCTCTAGTACTAGAAACATTTTAATACGTCTCAAAACAAATTTCTACACATGACAGCTCTTCAGAGATTCAACTGCAGTTCTGATGCTGTTGATAAAGGGCTATTTCCCCTAAGAAAGAAGACTTCATTACAATACATTCCCACATCTTGCAATAGATCTGAAGAACTATTTAAAGAAATGTGGACTCAGCCACCTCTGTGTCATTCCCTGCTCACCAACTGTAATTTTGGCACAATTTTTTTCTTGGGAGGATGAAAAGAATCAACATGGCCCTACAAAACTATGGCCTCATCATATAATGTATGAAGTACCTATTGTACTTAGCTAGGAGATACAGATGCTCTGTACTGCTGCCAAAAAAAATA